CTTTTACGTATAAAAACGTATACAACAAAAGAACGAAAGCGATGATCATAAGGTTACGTCCCCGTATGTTCTCTTTCATAATCCCAAAACTGCAGTCCTCTAGCTCATTCGATTCTTGAGTTATTCAAAAAATATCCGGATGCATTATATTTTGAAATGGATAGTATCAAGTCTTGTTCTATCAAAACAGCATTGTGAAGGCCGTTTTTCTTCGAATTTTCTCGGTAACGCTTCTGTTTTTGAGCCGCAGTGAGCTTCATCTGAAGCAAATGTTGTGCACATCGCTGAATACAAGATAAATTTATTTTATGCTGAAATAATCTAGAATTAAAAAGCGCATAATTCTTGACGATGTTGTCCTAAAATTCTCTCAAAAACTTTGTGTTTTTATCTTCTGCATTTTATTCCAAATTAAGAAGTCAGCAACATAAACTATGCAAGTGTATCTCGGATCTCAAGTTATACCTGAAACAAACAACTTTCAGAAGGCCTATGTATGTGTTAATGTGAGGCGCCCAAAAGGTCGCGCCCAAAAGGCCGTGCGTTACCAGGTTTCTCGGCACTAAAGCACTTGGACGAAAAACCAATATATACATTGGATAAGCCCTCAGAAGTAAGCGGAAGATCAATGAGAGTATAAAAATAAATCACTTTGATGTAGTCAAAAAATAAACAAAACTCGATTTTCGGTAACGCACAGACGTTGATTTAATCTAGTTTTTCAAAAGATTTTTCTCATAGCAAAAACGATCTGAGAAACTTCTAAATAGATAAAAAGAAAGCCCAGACCCTGCGCTTCAAGATTATATAAGATACTTCATGATCATCGCTTTCGTTCTTTTGTTGTATACGATTTTATACGTAAAAGTGGGTTTTGGTAGAAAAAATTTGTATGTGAAATTCATAATCCTGCGCTTGATGAACCTCTTACAACATCAGTATTGAGTTTAGAAAAAGAGAGGCACCTCATTTTGTTTAGTTTTTGATGGTCTTCGAATGAGACATTGCTCGATCAGAACGGATAAAAACTGACGCAGTTATATCGAAAATATGAGACAATGCTCATTTTGGCGATTCTTCGATGCACCTCATTTTGAAACTCTGTAACTCAGTCGAATTACAGTCTGGAACTGACCAATTTTTTTTCGTCACCCCAGTTTTGATTGTAGAATCAAATAAAAATCATTTGTCAAATTTTTGCATATTACGCGTGTTTCGCACAATACTCGCTTTCCTCGCGAATCGTCTCTCAAGAAAATACTTAAGTTATTCGGAGATAAAATTTGAGATACGAAAAATCTCCGAATAATTTTTTTGTATTCTTAGTTGAATTCCATGAGCGCTGTTTTGTATGATTTAAAATTCGGTCGAAGTAAATTTTGAATTTTGTAGTGTCATTCTATATTGCTGCAGTCTACAGAGAGGTGAACTTTATGTTCTCTTTTACGATTTTCTCCACCATGATGCACATCCTCTCTCTCATTTGTTACTGCTTTATACTTATATTAAGCATTGTATGTACTATAACATGTTTCGCGTGTGTACTCTTTTGGTTGAATGATAAAGTTTAGGACAATTATTTTTGAACTTAGGCAGTAGCACGCAACAGTAGAAAAACAAATGACGCAACACTACACTATCAATTCAATGAAGGTAGTTTCAATTTTTGAGATTATTATGAACGAAAAAACTTTTTGAGTTTCATATTACCTTAAACAACCTTTTTAGTGGATTCCTACTACTTCGAAAAGACATTCAGTTTTACACTCCCTGATATTATCCCTATTATGGCAGTACTGCCATTACACCCAAAATAGCCAATTCTGTATTATACTGTAAAATATTTAAATGTTCTACATTTTCGTCTGTCGCGCCAAAATAAGCGGTATTAGAATAATGAGGGTGAGTGGCATTATAATTTGTAAAGGATAGTAAATCGGAGTAGGACCTGCTCACTGTTTTTTTAAAAGCCTGGTCAATTTTCTTTTTGCATCTCATCTGGTGATTAAAACACAATGCAAACTTACATTGCTTTTTGAAATAGCATTTATTCAATAAATAATTTATTTGTTCAAGTGTAAATGTTATTAAAACAGTCAACTAAAGCATGATTGTAAACTTTCTGTCAAGGACACGTATATCGTTGGGAACCATACCCTTTTTGGCAATCTCCATGATGATAACTCATAATTGTTCCGGGTTTTATGCCCAAAATTCCACCATGACATCCAGATTTCACCCATTCTTGTACTTTTTTTTCACAATTCGTACCACATTCAGTCATAGCTTTATTAGTACATGAACATGTACTAAATAATCCAACACCACATTGATCAATTACACCAAAATCTTTCACTTTAACAGGTATTGTTGTATCAGTGCGTATTTCACATTCACATCTATAAAATACAAAGAATATATTATCACTTGTTCCCTTGCCGGAAAATCCAATATAATACGAAACAAAAATGACTATTTGTTTGTCTGTATGTAAAATGTCAGACACCAAGACAATTACAGTAAAAATAGTAAAGCACAACCAATCAAGCTGAAAAATACAAGGTAGAGGTTTTGGGCTATGGAGAACCCAAAAATGATGAAAGAAACATGTAGAAATGATTCTACTGATCGATTTTCCTTGAGTGAGGAACCAAAAGCACATGAAAATCGCTGGTTTGATAAATATTGTATAACTTTTCTAAAACTTACTGTTTACGACTGTAAACGGTTACAATACTTATAAATAAAGCCAAGGTACAAAGTAAGTATTTCATCCTTGTAGAAGACCAGGTCCTAAAAGAAGAAAAAGATTTATTAAAGCATTTCTAAAAATGATATTCAATAAGCTAATGATAGGCGCATTTTTTAACGTATTTTAATTTATAGATTTGTCTCGGGTGTGTGAAACAGAAGTAATTACCATCTTTATAATATTAGGAAAATCTCTTTTCTAGTGTCATTTTCTCCTCTAAAAATCCATACTTGATGAATCCATCCTATGAAGTGTCCAGTTTTAAAGTGTTTTCGATGAAATAACAGTATACTTGCTTTGTTTGTGATAATAGATTATATGATGAGTGAGTTTAATGATGTTTTTGTTGAAAGTTTAAAGACTTTAGTCGATCTAATAAATTCGATCTAATAAATTAAAATTGTACTCATTGTGTATAAAATCTCATACTATTTATTATCATATACGAGAGAAATATCGTGTCTTTATTGAAATTTGTGTGAATCAGTAAATATTATTCACAAGAAAAACAACTTAACTAATAATTATAAGAAAAATTAACATATTATATGAGTATCTGTGTTCTCAGGTTTTACATATTCATCATCATTATTGATTTTTATTTTATTTTATCATCCATTAACAAATTTAAGTACAAAAGTTACATAAAGGATTTAACGTTTAACCCCTATATAACTTTTGTACTCTAATGGATGATAAAATGAATAATAAAATAAAATAAAAAAATGAATAATGATGATGTTATACATAATGATGACATTATTCATTTTATCATCCATTAACAAATCTAAGTACAACAGGCAGACAAAGTGGCTTGAAAACTTATCGGCCCACACATAGTGTGTCATTTTCTTTCCTATGGGAACAAAGGAGACGATCGCCTACGATTGATAATCGAACCACTTCATTTTTTGTCTAATAACGATTCTGTAAATCGTAGAAAAGTATTATCAGTCGGTTTTAAGTAATTTTGCATACTTTTGGTAATTATAATCTGAGTAATTCTTTATCAATAGAGCGCCAATAGCTCATCCCTCAAAGTTCAGCTATAGATTACGTAAAATGTGTTTTTCTCATGTTTCGTTCACTTAGAGACAAAGTAAATACACCGTTGAACAGCCCCTAAAATTCTCTACAGAATGTGTAACATAACAATTAACCGCAGTGCTCTGATAGCAGTAGGGCACTCAGAATAATATTAGGTGACCTCGGATAAACTCTGAAGTGTATGGAAACATAGGTTATCGAGCATGCTGAATTTTGTGGCAATGTGTTTTTCCAGGAAAGGGGGCTAAACGTAGTGACACTGAGTTCTGAGCAAAATCTACAATTTAGCTATAACAATACAAAAGTAAAATACTTCAATCTTTTTCAAACTCCAATCAAACCGCTTGGAACTACCATGGTAGGATCAGGAGAGTAGATTGAACAGTTAGAACACCAAAGTAATACATTCTCTTACAATGGATTTTTAGAAAACCTCCAAAAATCCTAATAACAGAAAAATAGATGTTTTATTTTTCTAACACAATCTACAAGTAAATCAAGGAAAATAGAGTATTTTCTTTGGAGTTGGGTTTTGGTGGAGATCGAAGCATTTTACGTTTGTACAGTTATAGCTGAACTGTGGATTTTCCTCAAAACTCAGTTCCACTATGTTTACCCACCTTAACCTAAAAAGACACATTACTACAAGATTCAGTATGCTCGATAATCTATGTTTCCATACACTTCAGAGCATATCCGAGGTCACCTAATACCAGCCTTGTGACTTCCAGCTAAACTGATGCCACGTCTACAACTACAGAAGTTGAACCTACTGATTAAGATATCATACGTTGCTTACTTTGTAGGATTTTCCTTGAGCTTTAAGATGCTATGTGACACAAACTATACATGTTTTCTTACTAGTGTACGAAATAGTAAAAACTGTAAGTATGTCACATTTTTCCCTAGTCGGTTTACTTCTAGTTCATTTTCAAGGACTGATCCCACCGATCTTGAAGTTCTGGACTTGCCAGTTACTAGCAAGTTTCACAAAATGATATATAATACCAAAATGTATGTTTTCTTGTTGAGAGGAAAAGGGGTCACACAAGTGAGGACTGTGTTAGAGATGTGCACAGATACAATTTTCGTACCCGTACCCGAGCCGACTTACCGAGAAAACTTTTGTTTTCGGCTGGGGATGTCAAATTATCATTACGTTCTCAAGTAACTTTTTTAAAACTTTATGTATTTTAGCTAAAAACTTGTATTTTTTCAACAGAATTTCCTGACATTTTCATTAAAACCTTCCGGTTTTCGGGCAAATTAATAAAAACGAAACCGGTACCCGACAACTTCGTACCCGTACCTAACCTTTAGTTCGGGTCTGATACGGACCGCACATCTGTAAGCTGTGTACTATACTGTGTACGCAGGATTATTCTAAGCCCCCTACTGCTATCAAAGCACTGCGGCTAATTGTTATGTCGCGCACATTCTGTAGAGAGGGGTACCAGAGTATCAGTACGCAGAGTATTCTCGAAAAACGACCATTTTCTGAAAATATGCTGGGCTCGATGTTGTATTCTTGACGAGGACAGACTGTTATTCTGATGTATTTCCAAAGCGTGCCCTAGATATCGAATCTTATATAAAAATCTTGTAAATACCTTATTAGAATCATGTAAGATTCTTTCAGGATTTTTATCTGATTCTCATGAGAATCTTACAGCAGTCTTACAAAAATCTTATACCCCCCTCCTCCGCCAATCTTGGAAAAAGCTAGCATAAGTTACTGAATTGGTTCGTTCAATAGCATTTTTTATTTGTCCAAAACGGTTCCTTCCTTTACCACGATTCTTTTTATTTCACAAAAACATAAAACACGTAAAAAGAACAACTTTCATACGAAAAACAGAAAAAAGAAATAACTAATTTTTCTTATTTTTTACATCTAAACACCTTTGCGATCGATAATGATGGCTAAAATTTTATTTTTCATAGGTCTGCGAATATTGATTTTCTAAGTTTAAAATTTTTTTGAGCTGCAACTTAAAAGTTATTTTTAAGAATAAAAATTTAACTAAGAATTTGTTTGTTTATGTACAACAAAGATTAAAATAAATTAAAATTTCTACGCCACACAAAAACATACCACGAATGAAAGCAAATAAGGAAACACCTACAAAGAAAGAAAAAATAAGCATATGAGAAAGTAGGAAGAAAATATTTTATTCAAGTGAACATGATAATCATGTTCAAAGCCAATAGAGAGAGGAGCGTATATTATAGTTATCAGCATCGATAACTATACATTTTTCCAGTATTGCCATGGTTGGTAGAAGAGTAAGATTTTTCTTTGTTTTTTTGTCACATCAGCGAAAAAACAATTGATCATTTTCAAAGCATTTCCATATATACTTGGTCAGCAAATGTGAAGAACTTATCGGAACTTTACTTTCTTTTACTAAATTGCCGATGCAGAAAGTTCCATGTTTACATTGAGCAAAACAGTAGTGAAATATATTCTTTTCCTTCGGAAGATTTCTAGAAAACCATTTCGAAATATCAAGTATTCTCTGTTGCTATTTAAAACTTTTATTCAACTTCGTGATATAGCGTAGATAATAGAGTACACCTTAATATTTTTACGTAGTTTGGATCGATTTTGACTGTGTGATGAATTTTCTAAGTTTTGGGATTCTCAATTTTCTCTTTCAGAACTCAACTTTTATGCAATAAAAATATCATATTCGAAATCCGGGTCAAAAGCTGAGAATTTCGAAAATTTTCGTTGATTTTCATTTTTTGGTGAAAATCTCGGTAATTTTTCGACGTGAAACAAAAAGAACTGAAGCAGTCGGATAGAATAGATTCATATATCATTCCACTCAGTTTTTGCCCCTGATTCTGAATATGATAGTTTTATTGCATAAAAGTTGAGTTCTGATAGAGAAAGTTGAGAATTACGGTCAGAATTCAGACATTTTCGCCTCTAATTTAAAGAAAATGAATTTGCTCAGTAACAAAACTTTGGGTAAAGTTGTGCAGCAAAAAACTGTAGGCAGAAATGATACATCCGCTGTGCATTCAATCCGAAAAACGAGAAGTATGGATCTCAAAAGTTTCGTTCGACCGATAAATAAAGATATGTTTCTCCATAGATTTATATACTATTCAATGTCCTTGCTCATGTGGATGCAAGGGTTTTAAGGGGTTTACTCTCAATTTTCGAGTAAGATATTTATTCCCATCTTGAGAGCAAAAGGCTTACTCTCAGTTTCATAGTTGCTCTCTTTTCAAAAGTAAGACATTTATCTATTTTCGGAGTAAGACACAAACTTCCATTTTTAGAGTACAGCATTTCTTTTTCCTAATCTGTATTTCATAGAAAATAAAATTTCTGTCATATACATAAATAAGACAAGATAAGTAGAATGGACTGTATCATGGCTTCGGTAAATGTATTTTAATATTATAAGGTGTTTATAAGGTGGTTTTTTATAAGGCTCGTGTTGAAGTAAACAGAGTTAGATAGAAGGAAATTCAGTCTTCCTTTAGTATTCTAAACTAAAACTATCAAAAAACTCAAAGTCAATTTTTATACGAATAGAGATTCAAACGCATGAACTTAGCTTTGCAGTAAACTGCAGACCTAAACTCACTGTTCTTCATATACGAGAGTTGTGGGTAGGGTGACACTTTCTCTTTTCTACCTCTATTTTCACTAATAAAAGAAAAGCTTTTCTTTTTATTTACAACAAAAAACAGTAAAGATATAAATAACGTGAATCGCATCGATTCACTAAGCCCATTGTCTGTCAGTCGAATGAATGCACTATTGGTATTATTATTCATTCTGCTGTAACTCGATCTTGTTACTACAGAATTGATGCATATTTTTTCTGATGAGAACGTCCATATTTTCCAAGTTGTGTAATTCATCGAGTCTCTGTAATTTGATTCGGTTTTATCTGACCCCAAAGAACCCTAGAGGTCTAACAATATTTCGAAATTCCAGACAATGCTCACGCG